GTGTGTGTGTGTGTGTGTGGGTGTATGTGTGTGTAGCATAGGTCTTAAATAGGCCTTGGATTTGTATGGACGCATTTGTAAATTAATTTGCTTTTACTGCATATAACATCTATTCAATAATGAAAATTAATTTACTTAATACTCTATAGAATATATATTCATTAATAATTGTAATTCCATTGAATTACAAGTTATACCAAATACAGTATTAACTAAACAAACAGTAATTAAATAAACTTTAACGTTTTATATGTGAGGACTGTCAACAATACGGAAGACGATGTTGGCTCGATTAATATCATGCGACTGATTCGTTGTCACAAGATGATAAGTCACACTTTCAATAGATACGGAGGACACGATTGTGTATATAACACCTGACAGATATTAACGACAGCCATATCCAACAACCAGTTAAGTACTCCATAAAATGACCCGTGACGGTAACCATGATCCGAGACGTCTCCAATCACATACGCTGTACTTAAGGGGGTTGGGTAATATGAAGTCAATTCGGAGGTTAATTTTAACAATAAGGTAAAAGGCATATTCGAATAGTTTATATTTCATATTTTACCGTGGTTAAAGAACCTACCGTAACCATGCCAATAACTTTAAATGTTCTCAAGTTTTGTTTCCTTTTATTTCATTTCATTCCACTTCGATAAAATGTAACCAAAAGTGGTAAATTACTTATCAAACGACTCCAATTACTGCATATAATACCGCAGAACAAAAGTCCAAAAACATCACAACAATCGAATTTATGACCGACCAAGTCAAAATACTCATTTTCATACTCAACGGGTTCGCATATAACTAGTACACCATGTTTACCAATACTATACGTATATTATTTCTTAAATGAAAAGCTTATGAACAACACAAGTTTACTTATATGGAAACTTTCACTCAAGGCCAGACACGCATAAAACAGTCTTAATAAATTATATTTTTCTTGATTATACTATGAAAAAAAGTTTCCCAGTCCAGTGTTAAGTGTTAAGTGACATGTAAATGATTTTGTACAGTAAATTAATTCATTTTGCATGACAGGTCCATTTTTAATAATTTCCTGTGAATTCATACTCGAGCGCAGAGTTATTTGAATATCACTATAGACTTAAAATGAGTTCAACAGAAATAAATTGTTATTAATGTGTTAATGTGTACCACGCTGACACCCATCCCCAACACAATGATATGACACGTCTACTTTGTTACGCATTATCGTGTCAACTAAACGAAGTTCAATTTATCAAGTTAAAATACAATTTAAAGCGAGGTCGAATTGCAACTATATACGAGACGAAAGACATGTTTAACAAGTGATTTGGAGTAAATTGCCCAAGCATTCTAGAGGTCAAATTGACTTTGAACTTGTTGAGAAACGAGCGATATAATGGACAATCATAGTACAATTACCACTGATGATAGGATGTGACGTACGCGACATCGTTGTTTACAATCGCAATAGCGATGCATTCGGAGAAGGAACCGTGCCACGCGTATGTTGAAGGATGGAACGCGAGAAGCCATGTGCGATATGGTTAATGGGAGCTGGATATTAGATTTGTAAATAACTATCTAATCATAGATCGATTAATAGGTCCATGCTTGGCTGCAACCTCAATTTTATTCTGCAGAAATTCAATGCATGGAGATATCATATTGAAATATTTAAAAATAAATACACAATTGATATTTTACCAATAGAGTAGCTCCCAGTAACACTTAAAAAAATTAAAAATGTGGGTTCTATTCTCAACAAAGCGAGAACGTCACCGACTTTTATATACACCCTTGTGAATTCGCTTTTAACTTTATACGTGCCCTGAAAGCATTTCTGACACCTAAGTGTTTATCTAGTGCCACCCTCAAATTGAAAATCAACTTGCAGTTTGACAAGTAGGGCAACAAAGCAATAATCACGTGTTTTCTTATAGAGTTGCAGAGCGACTGATAACCCGTACTGCCGAGTTAAAATGTTGCACAGAATGTGACCAATTTAACATCAAACTTGCGGTGACGATCGGAGATGTTTTAATCCTATAAAAATCCTTTGATATTCATTACTATTGGACCGTACATTATAGGTTTACATAATTATAATAATTCTCCTGATATTATTACGTGATTTATTTATTTAGAGACGTAAGTGGAATGGATCCGCAACAAATATATATCATATGCTTAAGCTAACGGAACAAGGTTACAACGAAGTGGGGTCTGGTACTGTGGTAGCACGAAGCCACCAATCGTAATCACGTGAGTTAAAACCTTTAAATGTGACCAGATGTTGCTTACCTAACAACCAAACGTTTTACCTAACAACTAACATGATATAGCCTAAATATCCATGCCTACTGTATAACATTTTTTAAATATGTTATATAATAATATTATTTAAAAGTAATAACAATTCCTTAATATAAATAACTTTAACAATGATAATCAATACTTTAATTTCTCATTCGTTCATTCAATTAGGTTGTGGTTTTTTCGTTATGGCGATTAATAGG